GAACTGGAGAGTGTGATGCTAAGTGAAATAAGCCATACAGAGAAAGACATATACCATATGTTTTCACTCTTATGTGGATCCTGAGAAACTTAACAGAAACCCATGGGGGAGGGGAAGGAGATAAAAGAAAAAAAACAGGTTAGAGTGGGAGAGAGAGCCAAATCATAAGAGACTCTTAAAAACTGAGAACAAACTGAGGGTTGATGGGGGGTGGGAGGGAGAGGAGGGTAGGTGATGGGCATTGAAGAGGGCATCTTTTGGGATGAGCACTGGGTGTTGTATGGAAACCAATTTGACAATAAATTTCATATAATAAAAAAAGGAAAAGAAAGGCTATTATCAGAAGCATAAGAAACAGTAAGTGTTGGTAAGGATGTGGAAAAAAAGGGAACAATGTGTGGGAATGTAAATTGGTGGAGCCACTATGGAAGACAGTATGGAGGGTCCTCAAAAAATTAAAAATAGAACTACCACATGATCCAAATATTCCATCTCTGGGCATTTATCCACAGAAACAAAAACAGTAATTTGAGAAGATATATGCACCTCTTAATTCATTGCAGCATTATTTACAATAGCCAAGATATGGAAGCAACCTAATGAATGTATGTATAAGGAAAATGTGGTGTGTGTGTGTGTGTGTGTGTGTGTGTGTGTGTGTGTGTGTATACTACTCAGCTTAAGAAAGGAACTCTTCCCGTTTTCAACATGAATGGACCTTGAGGGTATTATGCTAGGTGAAATAATTCAGACAGAGAAAGACATATACCATATGATTTCACTTATGTCTAAAAAGACCAAACCAACCAAACTAAGCCAAACTCGTAAATACAGAGAACACATTGGTGGTTATCAGGCGGAGAAGGGAGTTGGGGCATGACTGAAATGGATGAAGGAGGCTAAGAGTTTACAAAAATTGAATTATGATGCTGTACACCTGAAACTAAAATGTTATATACCATTTTTACCTCAGTAAAAAATAAAAAAATAAATATATGCTATTTAAAAAAAATGACATACACTGAAAAATCTGTGTGAGGTAACACTAAACTGTAAAAGAAAAACACCTGGCTCAGGGGAGTAAGATTTGGTAAAGGTGACTGGGTGATTTTTTAAAAACTTAATACATAGATATATATTTTTCTTCAAATACAGTTAAAAACAATAAGCATGGGGGCGCCTGGGTGGCTCAGTCGGTTAAGCGTCCGACTTCGGCTCAGGTCATGATCTCACGGTCCATGAGTTCGAGCCCCGTGTCGGGCTCTGTGCTGACAGCTCAGAACCTGGAGCCTGTTTCA